GGAGAAATTTCCTGACAGTGAGAACAATTAACCAGTGGAACAGCTTGCCTTCAGAAGTTGTGGGTGCTCCATTACTGGAGGTTTTTAAGAAGAGACTGAACACCCACTTGTCTCAAATGGTAAAGGGCTTCCTGGCTCAGCAGGGGGTTGGAGTAGAAGACCTTCAAGGTCCCTTCTGTTGCCAGTTTATTACACTAGCTGATGGTCTCTCGTTGACCAGTACACCCCCGCTCTGGGAGAATTGTCCTACTGAGGGATCACACATTTTTACTTGGCATAGTGGCAGTTGAATTCATATGCATCTTAAGAACATAAAAATAAGGAAAGTTGTTTTAAAAAGCCATTCCAAGTCCCAGAAAGAAATGCAGTGATTTAAAACCTTCATGGAAAACTCATGGAAAAGTTATCGGCCAATCAGAGCTGGGGACAGTTCAGTTACACAGTCTCAATAGTTTCACTGTAGCTGTTTAGCTGGCATCTGCTTTTCCCTGCTTCAAAACTCCCGAGTAAGTGGCAATGTAATAATGACCATTAAGTTATCTCTTTATTCTGTACTTGTTTTGAAGTATCCTATTTTCAAACTTCAGAATTTGTATATGAAAGCACTCACTGGAGTCTCAGTTGGTAGATTTAATTGAAACTCCATCTTCTGTGGCTAGACAGAAACACGAGTATTTATCTTAGACTGTATAATGTTGGTCAAGAGATACCCAGTGGTATGATTAAGTTATTACAATATTTGTCCCAGTTTGTTGGAGTGGAAATGATTATACTGTCTATATCACCTCTTTTCCTCTTTCTCTCATGCATTAAGACAACATTTCTTGGCTTCTTACAATGCCGTTTCCCACAACATCTGAAAGAAATTCTAATCTGAGCAAATTTGCTGAAACCAGAGTTTGATATCTTGATTTTCAGGGAATTTTTGAAACTCCACTTTCCAATTTTGGAGGCCAGTTACTATCACATAGGAAATCAAAGGCTGGAAAAGTAGGCTCCCAAGTTTCCTTCTTCTGCAAGAGAGGATTCTATCCTTCTACCTCTTTCTCAAAATGCTTGAACATTTTTCAAAGAATTTGGGAAAGGCTGACAAATTGGATAGATGTGTGAAGGAGGCTACTGTATTTCAGTTTTCTGTAACTGATCTGCCCAGCAATGATTTAGCTTCTTTCCTACAGCAGCTTCCTGCTTGAGTGGGAGGTTGGACTAGAAGGCCTCCAAGATCCCTTCCAACTCTGCTACAGGTGTCTTCAACTTGTAACAGTTTGATTAGTGACCACTGAAAGTTGCAACAGCACTGGAAAAAGTGACTTATGACCATTTTTCACACTTACGACTGTTGCAGCATCCCCAGGGTCACATGATCAAAATTCAGATTCTTAGCAGCTGTCTCATATTTATGATGGTTGCGGTGTCCTGGGATCATGTGATCCCTTTGCAAAATCAATGGGGAAACCAGATTCACTTACTAACTTAACAACTGTGGCAAGAAAGCTCATAAAATGGGACAAAACTCATTTAACAAATGTCTCACTTAGCCACAAAAATGTTAGGCTCAATTGTGGTTATAAGTGGAGGAGTACCTGTATTCTGTTAAAGCTTGTTGAATTAAACCGTTGGAGAGAAAAGAACAGAGAGCGAAAGAAGGCCAAGCCTTCTGTTGTGAAAAGGGCTAAAAGGTCCCCCATAAGGCTCCCACATACCTTACAGGTGGAATCTTGTTTTATCTATTCTTCTGCATTGGGAAGTATTGTTTCAGTGGGTCAGGAAGTGGAGTGAATTCATTGCTTCTGTGAAAATGAGGGGCATTCAAAGTGCAGCTGCCTTGAACTGGTTCAAAGGAATGATCCAATTTGTACAAGACTTGATTTTGAGGAAGCAGGATGGCTCGCTGCCTGCAACTTTAGTTGAGCCCCCTCCCCTCTTTTCTGTTGTCCTTATGCTTCTGCCCATGCATAAACATTAGGCAGTAGACTGCCAAAAGCCCTTGAAGTGGCTGCTTTGATGGGACTTGGCCACGTCAAGCTTTGATATGTTTTGGGCCCCTTTGAGGTTTTGCAGAATAGCCAGAAAGAGTCTGTTCGGGAAAGCAAGCCTACAATTGAGGCAGCCTGCTTCTCTGAGGCTTTGCACAACCTTCAGGAAAACTCTGCAATACCTGCAGGACTTTTTCAAAGATGCACAAAGCTCTTCCTTGGGTAATTCATTTGCATGATCCAATAGCATTCTTTGAAGATTAGACCTGGCGGGAAATTTGTCGTACCTCTGATCCAACCTTCTTCCTTGAATTAGAAAACATTTTAAAACTTTTCCAATACATCATGCAAATAGGTTATGCTAATGAAAGCTGCATTGTAGATCATGGATCCATCTACTTCAATATTCTTTTATTAGTCAAGTTGACAAGTAATAGCAAGCTATTGGAATTAGCAAGTATTAATAAGAGACTTGATGTCTTCCAACAAAGATGCCTTTGCCAAATCCTGAAGATTCACTATCTTGACCATATCACTAACAAAGAAGTGCTCCAAAAGAATTTCTCCTGCAAACTACACAACATTGTCACATGCAGAAGACCCCAACTTGCAGGTCATATTCTCCGCATGGAGAACAATTGAATTCCCATGGTGGCAGTGAGATGGACCCCTGTGCCTGCCACCCCCCACCCCCCTTGGATGCAAAACCATCAATAGGATCCCCTTGAAATACATGGTGAAGAACATTCACGGAAGGCTTAAAGACTCTAAACATCACATGGGAAGATGCTGAAATACCGCCGATGACCAAAAATGATGGAGATCCCTTGATGCCCGAAATGCTACAGGGTCTAATGCTTAAGCTAATGCTAAATCTGTCAGGCACTGGGGAAATCAGGAGATTCAGGCAATTCAAATGAGTATAAAGATTTATTGCAAGCTTAAGCTCTCTACAAGAATCCAACCAAATAACAGTCAAGGGAAATGCGCGGGAGATAAGAGAGGCATTCAAGGCAGGCACACAGGGGCTCATGACTTATGTCATTTGACCCCTTTCTTGGGCTCAGCCTGGTCATCTCCTACAAAACCAGGCTGACAACAGGTCTCTTAGATTTTGAGCAGATATAGTCCCCAAATATATACAGTGGTGTAACTGAAGCCATCCAGCCTCAAACCTTTCTCTGAGTGAAACATTTGTTCTCCTGTGAAGTTGTAATCATTGGCCTGACTAACTTTGGCACTTGAATTCCTTCCGAGTTCTTTATCTAAACTGTGTATTTTGGAACAAGTCAGCACAACACATGGTGTGGGTAAATAGCTCCTTCAATCTGTTTCAAACCAACACAGGTTGTTATTAATAAATTGTGTTCCAACACAATAAATTGCTGCCTATTTATGATTGGGACAAGTTTTGTTGCAATAATCAAAGAGTTATATAGATTACACAAAATTAATTAGAGTCTTTATCTAAGCCCTATGTTTTAATGTATCAACACAGTACAAGGGGTGGAGAAACAGCTTCTTAGATCTCCTTAAAACTCTTAAAATCAGATTACAACTTCAATGGTGCTCCTAGGAAGTATGTCTTCCTTAACTAAATATGTAATTTTGCAGAGGGTGACGAGTTTCTTGAGTAGAAGGAATATTATGGTCTTGTGCTATTGGTTGTCTTTAAGGTAATAACCCTGGGATGAGAATACACAGCTTGCCTCTACCGGTGACAATATTTCGTTGATCTTTTTTTGTGGTAAGGACTAAGTTGGGTGAAGCTGTTTTCTTGCAGTCACTCCCCTCCATCCAGCTTCCTTTGACACCTTCTGCTCAGAACAAAGAAAAGAAACTATGGAGGAATGGGGAAGTAAATGTGTGAGGACTTCTTATATAAATATTAATGTAAAGATTTACACAACTTTCAGTAAAGGATGACCATATTTCACTATAACTACATACAATATCAAGTTTTCAGTCTTCTGAGTAATGGGCATTCTAATTACTTATTGTAAAATATTGACTGTCACCAAAAGATAAAACTAACAATATAATAGAAGCAGCACTTTTCTGGAATGACTGCTAGGACATCTTTTAGGTAGTCCTGGGGCCCAGTAATTACAGATGGTCCTACTGTAGAGAAAGGGGCCAAGGGCTTTACATGAACAATCAGATACTCTGATCTTGTAGGAGAAGAGCAGGAAGAGTTGGGGGGAGGAGTCAAGTACATTATCAGCTAAGAATCATTATGTTGCCACAAACAATCCAAGACCAACCCCTCCTGAATTTTGTTGGCCCTTATCTGATGCCAATTTAGTACTGAATTTTAGTTGACCATATTCTTGCATATAGGCTTGAATATACAGTATCTTCTGTGTTGCAACCTAACCTGATTCTTGTGTCTGACAGACCTCTATGTAATCTCCTACATGCACAAAGGATATTACATGCATTAGAGAATGCATTCCAGAAATCAAGACAATGGATTCTGCAGTGTGTTTATGCAAATAGGGCTAGGCCAAGGCTAGCCTGATATAAAATCCTTATATATGCGTACTGATATATTCAGAGGTTGCATATTTGTCTCAGAAAGAACCATTTGGTTTTACCGCATTCCTAAGGCTGCAAAGGAAAATGTTGTGGGGAAAATGCTGGAGTATTTGATATAAATAATTTCTGTTTCTGCGGGGCAAGTGTGTGCTTACCCTTGTGCTTTTTCAAGCCCATGTTGTTCAGCTTCTTCAGGAGCTCATCTAAGACCCGTCATTTCTGCAGATTAATTGCAAAGTATCCACTGGCTACAGTGAGTCATCTTTTCTCTTCATGATGAAAATGATATCCAAATTATGTTGATTACATGCCGCTAAAGTATGCAAATGAGTTACATTTCCTACTGCTCATGATGTAGTTTCTGATGAGTCTCTCAGGGCTCTAACAAGTTCCTTACTTCTGCCTGGAGGGGGGAAAAACAATTAGTTTTTTTTAAAAAAAATAAAATAAACTGGAAACAAGCCTGTCATCTTTTCAAATTGTCAGGTGAGAGAGATATCTAACCCCTCTGCTGTCCAAGGACAAAGTTCTAAATGAAGACCATTGGAAGGTGTTTGGTGAACAAATTCCATTGATAAGACATGCTGCTGGATGTCCCAGGTATTGAAAAAAATGATATTTCAGAATGGCTGGCTGGGTAGGAATAGCATCATATAGCTTTATATTGTTTATCTTGCATACAAGAAGACCGGACCACAAAGAAGAGAGATTCAACCTATTCTCCAAAGCACCTGAAGACAGGACCAGAAGCAATGGATGGAAACTAATCAAGGAGAGAACCAACCTAGAACTAAGGAGGAATTTCCTAACAGTGAGAACAATTAACCAGTGGAATGATTTGCCTCCAGAAGTTGCAGGTGCTCCAACGGTGGAGGCTTTTAAGAAGACATTGGACAACCATTTGTCTGAAATGGCATAGGGTTTCTATTTCTGCAGGGGGGTGGACTAGCAAACCTCCAAGATCCCTTCCAACTCTGTTATTCTGTTCTGTTAAGTTCTTGGTTAGATGAAGCTCCTATTGTAGTTCCAAAATGTTTCAGTTGCAATCAGAAACCAAGTCCAAAAGTTAACAGAAAACAGAAAAAAGTTGTGCAAATCTGGATTGTTATTCCCACTTTATCAACAGTTGTTTACGTTCTTCAAGTAAATAACTATTTGTGAGAAAGTTCTATATACAGTATATATCACATGATAGCTTTAACTACAGAAAGGGAGTAGCAGACTATTATCTAGCTGGACATTATGATAAGGAATGTGGTAAGCCAGTTTTTCCCCATATCTAGTTTTTGAGTGGTGGTGGCACTAAACGTGATGCTTGGCTTCCCCTTGTGGCTAGAGATAACTTATTGCAAGCATTTACACACAACTTGTTCAGCTGGTGTGGCTGTGATATAGTTTGTCTTGATCTCTTTAGAAGACACTGAAGTATGATGACTTTTCCAGCTGCTTACCCAGGTTCCTTTTAGTAACAGGGCAGGGAAGATTTGAATTAGTTTAGCTTGAATTTGAACAACATTTTTAAGGGATCTCTTTCATTAAGTCATGCCTTCAACCATCTCATCTCAAAAACGTCAGAGATGTCTTTGATTTCATCATTGCTGCATGCAATGTCCAACTTTAAACATTCACAGAGAGAAGCATTTGAATTGGATGCTAGGTAGTGATCAAAGGCAATGTTTGACTGTAATGTGTGAATGACTGCACAAGTCTGGGTTGTTTTTCCCTGTCACCACCAGTATTCCCTAACAATTGTCTTCTGATTATTGTTGAGAAAGGTCACAGGTTGCTACTTGTTTCCCCCCTCCAATGTTTCTCAACTTCTGACTCAACTTTGGATGGACGTTAATATGGTTTTGTATAGTTCATTTGTATGAAACACTTTAAAAATTGTTCCCTTCATTTAGTGACTCTTTGAAGTTATGACGGCACCGAAAGAAAATGACCTACAACTGGACCTCACACTTGCAAACTATCCCAGCATACTCAAGTCACATGTTTGTGATCTGCATGCTTGGCAACCAGCTCGCTTTTACAATGATTGCAACATCCTGGGATATCACGATAGCCATTTGTGTCCTTCCCAACCAGCTCCTGTAAATGGGGAAGCCAGCAGGAAAGGTCACAAGTCACGGTCACGTGATGGCTTGCTTAATGACCGTAGTGATTTGCTTAAAGCGTTGCAGCAAATAAGCTGTAAAATCAGGTGCAATCACACGATCCTCATTTAATGACCCAACAAATTTTTTGTCTCAATTGTGGTCGTAAGTTGAGGACTACCTATAATGCCAATCACAGAAGGAGGATTAGAGGGATAGGGATAAAGCCGAAAAAAGGAAAGGAAGAAGGTTAGAACAGGGGATAAGAACAGGTGAAAGTCAAAGAGCTTCCAAAGAGGAAAATGCCAGTATATTTCAGATAATAAAGGGGGGGGGATTCAAAACAGGCAAAACTCTTTTGGGAATATTTTGGAAAAAAGATCAGCCTATTTCTAGTTTGATCCTTTATTAAATCTCTGTGAAGCATGAACCTGAGAAAATGGGCACCAATGCAAAAGAACATCACTCCCATTTAGAAAAAAAAAAGTTTCCAAGCACACATATAGAACTGATAGAAGAGAAACATAAGATTCCTGGAGAAGAACTGAAGTATCTCCAATTCCCCAATTTCTTCTATGTGAAAGAAGATGTTCTTTTTCTACCTTGTTTTCAGGAAGTTTGAGAAATTCTTTTGGATTTCTCTTGGAGATTTTATTTTGTTTTTATTTAGTTAGTTATTCTCTTGGAAATGGTGGAGGGAATTGTTTCTGTAGTTGTATTCAATCTTCTGAACACCAAACTTCTCCTCTCAGAAAATCTCCCTGGGTCTCCCATTAGGATTTTGGTGAAGGATAGGAAGCCAGGAAGACCTTAAATTGAAAGTATTCACAAACACTTAAAATATCAACCATTTTTCCAACACAGCTCTAGAAACTGAAGAACTCTATAGTTCTTTGGATGTGATCCTTATCTTTATCTTTTCTTTATCTTTTATTAGATTTGTATACCGCCCTTCTCCTTTCGGACTCAGGGTGGTGAACAGCCAAAATAAAAACATTTGTACACAAAAGTTAAAATAATTATTAAAAATAATTAAATGAAATTTGGCCCATAATTTAAAACCTATCAATTAAAAATCAGTATCAAACGTTAAAACCAACATGGAATCAGGCCAGCCCGGCTAACTGAAAAAAGTAAGTTTTTAGGGCCCGACGAAAAGTCCGGAGGTCTGGGATCACTCGTATCTCTATTGCAAGATTAAGCTCTCTAACGGTCAAGGGAAATTAGTGGGAGTTAAGAATAGAAAGGAGTTCAAGATGGGCTGGACTTAGAACTCTTGTGGGCCCGCAGGGACTCTTCTATTTATTTATTTATTTATTTAATTTGTATACCACCCTTCTCCCAGAAGGGACTCAGGGCGGTGAACAGCCAAAATTAAAAAACATACAAATACGAAAGTTAAGATAATTAAAAAGAATTAAATCACTAGCTTCCCAATTTAAAACCCCCAAATCCATAAAATTTAAAATCCCAATTTAAAAACCATTTAGGCTAGGCCGGCTTGATGGAATAAAAACATCTTCAGGGCTTTACGGAAGGTCCGGAGGTCCGGGATCAATCGTATTCCAGGAGGCAGCTCATTCCACAGGGCGGGTGCCCCCACAGAGAAGGCTCTCCCCCTGGGGGCCACCAGCCGACATTGCCTGACCAACGGCACCCTGAGGAGGCCCTCTCTGTGAGAGCGTATTGGCCGGTGGGAGGTTATCGGTAGCAGCAGGCGGTCTCGCAAATACCCTGGCCCTAAGCCATGGAGCGCTTTAAAGGTGGTCACCAACACCTTGAAGCGCACCCGGAAGTCCACCGGAAGCCAATGCAGCTCGCGCAGGAGAGGTGTCACGTGGGAGCGCCCCGTCGCTCCCATAATCCCCCACGCGCCCGCATTTTGCACCAGTTGGAGTCTCCGGGTGCACCCCAAAGGGAGCCCCATGTAGAGAGCATTACAATGGTCCAGACGAGAAGTGACAAGTGCTTAAGTGACCATGCGTAAGGAGTCCCGATCTAGAAAGGGGCGCAACTGGTGTATCAGGCGAACCTGATAGAAATCCCCCCTGGCCACGGCCGTTGTATGCTCTTCTAAAGACAGCCGTGCGTCCAGGAGGACGCCCAAGTTGTGGGCCCTTTCCTTAGTATATTACACTGGAAAATTTTGAGCCTTTGTACATTGTCTGCCATTGCCCTTGGAGATTTGCAATAATTGAACCAGAAGTTATCACAAAGGTGCTCTTTCAAAAGGCAACTGGACTTTGGTTTTTTTTCCCTTGAGAAAGAAAACGCTTCGCTTCTCATCCAAGAAGCTTCATTAGAACTGATGAAACTTCTTGGGTGAGAAGCAAAACATCTTCCTCAAGGAAAAAAAACATTGTCCAGTTGCCTTTTGAAAAAGCATCTTTGAGGCAACCATGACCTGGATGACTGAGAATCTCCAAAGACAGAAATCATCACCTTACATAGTAATTACTGCTTGAGTTTTTTTATGAGCTGTCTTATGCAAAATGACAGTTGCATTATAATTGCAATAATAGCCACTCTGTAAAACTGTACGTGCTTACCTATATGTGCATTTCAATGGAGATTGGTACCTTGGTTTTCCATCCAAAATATTGCCGGAATTGTCTTATTTCTTATTAGGTTCATTCTGAGCTGGGTTGCTAAATTTCAGAGAAACACCAGTATGGGGAGATTTACTTATCGTTGGCAAGTTGTCCATATTAAATGTGACATCAAATGCAGCAAAATTAGGGTGTTTTTTTTTTTTTTGGTTTTTTTTTTGCTCCTCTCATGCAGTATTTTTCTTGTAACTGAAGTGAACAATGCCGTTGCCATAGAAACAGCCTTTCTGCAAAAGGTCACTTGCAAGAAACTGTGTTTTAGGTGCAACTCTAGGAGATTATGGGGGATTAGCTATATATGTACAGTGTGTGTGCGTGTGTGTATACACACACATATATTACTATATACTGTATAATGGGGATATATATAATAAACCTCTCTCTCTCTCTTTCTTTCCTTGAAAAAATATAAACAAATATCCAGTTGGACGGTTCTTTCACTAAATTAAAAAATCAATGATAAAAACTTTATTTATGCAATAAAGTGATATCTGAAATAGTTACTCTCTGAATGTGTATGTATATTTAACTTGGTTTTAATTAAACATGAGTCAGAATTACGACTGTGGTAAGACAATATAATTTCCAAATTCCCTGTGCAGTTTTTAAATGTTGGCTTTGTTATAAACCTCCTGATGGACTTGAATCCTCAGAACAGAGTTTATGCTGTCTTTTCCATACCCTACAGTGTATTGGAAAGAACCACTCAGGGTGAATAATTGTGAAAAAACGGGGAAATGCAGTAAAAAAAAAAGTGAACTTAAAGAATTGCTCCATCAGAGCTGCCATTTTGAATAAGGCTTTCATCATTGCAAACAATCCATGTTGTGGACATCTCCTGAATTGGTAGAAAATATACACAAATGGGGGTCTCAGTGATATGCAACCCTTTGCCTCAAAAGCTTTGCTTCCAATTTTGGGAATTTCTCTAAAAGCGGCCTCCACCTTGTAATAAAAAAAATGGGTTTTGTTCTAGCTGAATCAGCTTGTTTGAGTATGGTTTCTGGCACATCATTCAAAAGTCAACTTTTGGCCTGTGATTCAAACCATTACTATGAAAACAATATTTAAAGGTGCTGAAAATGTTTATGAAAATATCCATGGGCTTATATCATGGACACTCCATACAAGTTTGGTTGATGTAACCTCTTTTTATAGATTGTCTGTCTATCCCAGGAGTGTCAAACTTGATTTCATTAAGGGCCGCATCAGGGTTGTGTTTGACCTTGGGGGGCTGGGGTGGGCATGGCCAGAGTGGGCATGTCCAGCTCGACGTCACTCGTGTCGGGGGCACCTGTGGCGGCCCGAGTGCTCTGCCAGTGAAACCAGGCTCCCAAGCTCCATTTTCGGCTGCGATGGCCTCTTGCAACCCTCTTCCAGCAAAAACGGAGTTTGAGAGTGCTGCCCACAGCCCTTGCGAGCTCCGTTTTCAGCTGCGATAGCCTCCTGCATCCCTCTGCCAGCAAAAATGGAGGTCGGGAGGGCAGCACACAGCCCTCCCGACCTCCGTTTTCACTGGCAGAGGCACCACAGGCCGGTTCTTCACTGTTTCCAGGTGGCTCCATGGGCCAGATCTAAGCACCCCATGGGCTGAATCCGGCCCTGGGCCTTGAGTTTGACACCCCTGGTCATCCATTCCAATCCATTCTGTTCCACTCACTTCCATTCCATTCCATTCCATTCCATTCCATTCCATTCCATTCCATTCCATTTATATTAATGAAAATTCTCAGTGAATTCAAGTTAATCAGTCTGTTCATCTCACTTGTTCCCTCCCATCTTCCTCCATGACCATCACCAAGAGATAGATTCTGCCCAAAGGCAACAGAGAATTTGTTAAACTTCTCCTAATCCATTTTTTAAAAAGCCATTTACTACAGTTTTAGGAACAGGAAAGGATTCTCTACAGCAGCGGCAAGATTAAAGGATGGCCAGCTATGATGCATGATACACATCACTGTATGTCCTGCAGAATCACCTTTATCTAGTCCTTCGGGAGTAGGGCGGTATATAAATTTAATAATAGCAAAATGTATCCTAATAAGAGAACTAATCCTTTCCAGAATTTTGCACATGAATATTTAACTTCCAAACTTCAGAACTGCATTATCTGTGGAGATAGATGGAGATGCTACACTCATGGTCAGTAGTGAAGATTGATGGGATTTGAGTTCAGCAACATCTGGAAGATCACATGTTCCCATCTGTCTCTATATTTTAGATGTTTATATAGGTAAACTGTGAATTGCTTTTTTTCAGGTCGTTCCTTCCACTGATGAAGATTGATTTGAATTCTTATCCTGTCTACCAAGTTATTGATGGTCCATGGTGAAACTGTAAAGCCTTTAAGCTTGATGGACCATTCTCCACATTTTAATTTACGCCATTGATGGGTACAGTGAACAGAATCTGAATAGACGAGAACTGAGGAACTGCACTTACTACCTCTTGCCAATTGCAAAACAATCCATTAAAAAGTAATTTCTAGGTATGAATTTTCAATTGATTCTTAATCTATCCAATAATTATTTCAGATTAATGCATTATATGTTTAATCAATTACATTTATTGTGTCAATTACTGACAGTTGCCTCAGAAGATGCTATTTCTTGAAAAATCCATGGTAACTGCCCACTGCATATCTATTCATTTTCTGTCTGGCATAACTGTTGATGAGATTAATGGGAGAATAATAACTATGATATTGCTCTTGTTTTGCATGGATAAAACTCTAAGGAAGTACTGGAAAAAATCTCTTAAGCAGAGTACCCAATGTTAGGTTAAATAGGCATAGTTTGAGCTGCATAAGGCAGTCTTCAACAAGTAATCTTCACTGGGACAATCAACCCGGTTTCCCCAATTGGGACCATCAGCTTGGTTCCCCCAATCATTAAGTGAAGCAGGCACTAAGTGAAACATCATGATTTTGCTATTGTAAATTCAGATTTCCTTTATTTTACAGACCTGTGAAGATCATAAATGCAAAGATTGCTCGTAAAATTACTTTTTCACCCCCATCATAACTGCAAATGATTGCTAAATGAGGGCTACTTTTAATCAATAATGGGACCTTTGCTGTTGTTTACAGGGCAGCCAAGATATCTTATTTTGATATTGTTGCTGCTGAAAAACAAACTCAACAATATTAGCACAAAAAGGTTAAGCCAATTCACATATTATGGAGTGATAATAGGGTTGTAATTCTCAATCAAATTATTTCTGCTGATTCAGAAAATGGGTCACAGAATCTGGTTAGAAGGTATTGACAAATATTTCTTGCTCATTCCTTGTTGAAAGTTTGTGTGACATGTGCCTATTGAAGGAAATATGGGGTCATCTCCTTTCTTTAGGAGTGGTTTCATTCAGGGGTGGGTTCTAATTTTTTTTACTACTGGTTCTGTGGGCGTGGCTTATTTTGTGGGTGTTGCTTGGAGGTCATGTGACTAGGTGGGCGTGGCTAGCTGGTCAGAGTCATTTCTGGAAGGTCCTCACACTTACGACCAGTTCTCGCACTTACGACCCAACTCATTTGTTTGCTTTTAACACTGATCAGCTGTAGGATGGCCCTTTGAAGCCCCGCGGCAAGAGTTTAAACAGTTTTTTTCCCTCTAGTCATCAGCTGGGACTCAGGAGGCAGCAATAGATTGGGGGTGGTACTAAATAAAAGGTAAGAATAACGTGGGGGGTGGGGGGTGGGAGGGCAGGGGGGGAGAACCGGTTCGGTGATGTCATATCGTCACCGCTACCGGCTCGGCCGAACCGGACCGAACTGGGAGGAACCCACCACTGGTTTCATTGAAGAAGACTTAGCCGAAAGATTTTATTACATTTGTTGGTATAAAAATATGCCTATTGGCTAGGAAAACTAGGCTTCGGTTCTCATCTCTCTTGCAGCCTGACTTCATGGTGTATGTAACCTACTACTATTCTTTGCGGTACATTCTGTGATTTTTGCAGTAAAGCTCATATGAACATTTTCACATCGTTATTCCGGAAACTAATCAAGGAGAGAATCAACCTAGAAATAAGGAGAAGTTTCCTGACAATTAGAACAAATAATCAGTGGAACAGCTTGCCTTCTGAAGATGTGAGTGCTAGAGGTTTTTAAGAAGAGACTGGACAGCCACTTGTCTGGAATGGTAGGGTCTTCTGCTTGAACAGGGGATTGGACTAGAAGACCTCCAAGGTTTCTTCCAACTCTTTTGTTCTGTTATTCTGTTACATATATCTGAATAGCAGAAGGAGGAATAAATAGACCTGTTTTTCCCATCAGTGACTCCATGGTCAACAAGTATAAGATAGGGGGCTTTCTGGATGAGCCATTGCTGGATCTTCCCTTAAAGGCTATAGCTGGACCACCTAAAGATACAAGAGAAGTAGCGTTGGATCTTGACTTGATGTCCTGTCAAGCGTATAACTCGAGCAGCTTATAAGCAAATTCTAGAAAAACAACAACAGCAGAGGTCTAAGCCACCACAAGACAAGAAGGGAGTCAAGGGCAAAACACAAGAACTTGAAGCCATGGGAGGAGCTAAGCCGAAGACTTCTGGTCTGGAACAGAAACTTCAGCAAATGCTCTTATCGCTTCAGGAGAATCCAAATGACAATTAAGTTTTTATCTTGGAATGTGAACGGATTGAATTCACCACAGAAAAGAAAGAAATTATTTCATTACTTGAGACAATTTAATAATGATGTTATTTGTTTACAAGAAACTCATATCACACAAGATCAAAAATATTTGATAAATTCTAGATTAGGAGCACAATTTATAGCTTCAAATTCAGAGAAAAAGAATTTATATAAACAAAAGATTGTCAGCTAAAATTATAGAAACAGATGATTGTAGAAGATAAATAGCAATTGAACTTTATACAGATAATGGTCCAATTCTGGTGATTGGAATTTATGCTCCTAATCAACAACAAGAAAATTTTTATAAAATATTGTATTCCAAAATATTACAATGGGATTATAGATCTATTTTAATTATGGGAGATTGGAACGGAGTAATAGATCTTAAAAAAGATAAAAAGAGCTTGGCAAAGTCATGTGTTAAACTACCACAGATTTTCTTCGATATGAAAGAAGATTTGGAATTGAAAGATATATGGAGAGTGCATAACCCAAAAGAACTGGACTTTACTTTTTTTTCAGATAGACACAGATCCTTCTCTAGGATTGATTTTATTTTACTTACAGTCGATTTACTCTCAAAAACAAAGAAAACAAAGATATTTCCAAGGACTTTATCTGACCACAGCCCGGTATGGATAGAAATAGAAATGGGAAAGAATGAGAGAAGATCTTGGAGAGTAAATGAAAATTTGTTTAGATATGAAAAGAATGTAAATGAACTTAAAAAACAAATGAAGGAATTTTTTGAAATGAACTTGAATAAGGGTACCCTTATTGAAATTGTTTGGGATGCGAGCAAGGCGTATATGCGGGGGGTACTGATTTATATGAATTCTAAACATAAATCAAATCGACAAAGAAAAAGATTAGAATTGGAAGGGGAGATAAAGAAAAAAGAGCAGTTGCTTATAAAAAATCCAACAGATGAAAAATTACAAGGAGTTATAAAACTTTTGAAAGATCAATTCCATATGCTTACAGCGGAACAAGCAGCAACTAACTTACAATTTGCGAAACACAATATATTTTGTAATGCCAATAAACCGGGAAGTTGGTTGGCTTACACACTGAGGAAACAGCAGAGTACTCGGACTATTGGGAGTATTGAGTATAGAGGGAAGGAAGTATTTCAACAAAGACTAATCAAAGAAGCCTTTTTAGATTATTACACCAAACTATATGCCAAAGATGATATACAGAATGAACTTATAAATAAATATCTAGAAGAAAAGAGAGTTATAAAAATTTCTAATGATCAAAAGGAAAGAACGAGTTTACCAATAACAGCTGAGGAGATTATTGTTGCTATTAAACAACTGAAAACAGCTAAAGCTCCAGGAACGGATGGTTTAACTGCGGTGTACTATAAAACTTTACAAGCAGAAATGATTGAACATCTTAAAGACTTATTTTGTAGCATACAACAAGGGGGAAAAATACCCCCTTCATGGAAAGCAGCTTTTGTCTCTCTGATACCGAAAGAGGAGGCAGGTTCTACAAAACCGGAAAATTTTAGATCAATATCTCTCCTGAATACGGATTATAAAATTTTTGCGAAAGTATTAGCCAACAGATTAATGCCAGTTATTCAAGAGGTGATTCATTATGATCAAGCAGGATTTATAGAAGGCAGATATATGAAGGATAATGTGAGGCAAATTATAGATTTATTGGAATATCTTGAGAAGAATAAACAGATCTCTGCAGTGCTGGTGTTTTTGGATGCGGAGAAGGCCTTTGATCGAGTGAATTGGAACTTTCTATTAAAGACTTTAAAAAAGATGGACTTTGGGGATCAGTTTGTACAGGCGGTTTCAGCAATTTATCAAGAACAAACAGCACAAATTATTATTAATGGAAGTTTAACTACAAATTTTAGTATAGAAAAAGGTACAAGACAAGGTTGTCCGTTATCCCCATTGTTGTTTATTCTAACTTTAGAAGTCTTGTTGAATACAATACGGGACTCGATCACTTTGAAGGGAATAGTGATAAGGCAAGAGGATTACAGAACAAGGGCATTTGCAGATGATCTGGTTGTTACCCTAACACAGTCGAGGGAATCAATAATTCAGATGAAAGACATTATAGAAGAATATGGTATGGTATCAGGATTTAGATTGAATCAGAAAAAAACCAAGATGATAGTTAAAAATATGACAGTTGATCAAAAGAAGGAACTGGAAAGGAAGGCAGGCTTTGAAATAGTATCAAAGGTGAGATATCTAGGAGTTCAAGTTGCAGATTCAAATATAAAACTGTTTCAAAATAATTATGAGGTGTTGTGGCGAAAAGTACAAAAGGATATGGAAATCTGGAAAAAACTGCAGCTGTCTCTACTTGGAAGAATAGCAGCAGTTAAAATGAATGTTCTACCTAGATTTTTTATTTTTGTTTCAAATGATTCCGGTGCTTAAAAATGATAAATACTTGACGGAATGGCAAAAAGGAGTGAATAAGTTTGTTTGGAATGAGAAAAAGCCAAGAGTTAAATTGGAAATTATGCAAGATGTGCGTGAAAGGGGTGGTCTTAAACTTCCAAATCTGCGATTGTATTATGAAGCTGCAGCATTTACACAAGCAAGTGACTGGTTTGGAAGGACAAAGACTGGAATATTGAATATTGAGAGTTATGATCTTGAATTTGGTTGGCATGCATATTTATTTTATGAAAATAAGGTGGATAAAGCATTTAATAGCCATATACTTAGAAGCTCATTGATGAAAGTATGGAAGAAGCACCGACTCAAATGGGATTATAAAATACCGTTGTGGATGGATCTTGGTCACATTATATGGAATATAAATATAAAGTCACTCAGGGGGTTTTCATACAAAGAAGTACTTTTT